AGAACTACTCTATTAATAGAGTTAGATCATTTAGCCCAATTTTTTTTTTCTCTGACATTGGCAAAAGGGATGCCATTTGGAAAGAGCTGTGAGTTTGACCACTTCTGATGATCTGTTCTCCTCATACTTCACAGTATCCACAATTGTTCTGTTGGGGATTTTAAGGGTGCATATAGTATAACTTTATTAAGTGTTTGTAGATCTGTTGTGTATGCTTTTTTCATTCTTTTTTTGAACCAGCTGATACAGTCTGCCTCTAACTTCCTGTAACTAGTTCCAGAAGTTAGCTGCTTGTAGTGTAAACCAATCTTCTAATTTCGAGTGGCCCCCGTCCCAGGTTTTGGTAATAGTTCGTTGATCTTATCTGTTGCCTTCATAATTCTTTTTTCTGAACTGCAGCTGTATCCCAGTAGCTGTTGTGCGGCCTCCTTTTGCCCAGTGGCACAAGAGTCCAAGCATTCATGGTGGTTGTTACTACCCTGTCAAAGAGAATCTGTGTATGTAAAAAGTTGTTAACATTTTATCTTTGTTTTTTCCATATATACCTATATATGTGTATACGTATGTATATATGGAAAAGAATATGGCTTGTTCCCTGAATTGTCCATAGGTTAATAGTGAACCACAAACACTGTTCTTTTCCATATGTGTGTGTATATATATGTATATATGGAAAAGAACATAAAGATAAAACATTAACACCTTTTTACTTTGGACAATTAGAGAATACTGTGGAATCATTTTACTTTAAGGAACTTTTCATTAAACTTGCTTCCAGGCAGCGTTGTGCTTCTGAAAATTAAAGTTATTCTTGACCTGAACTTGCTTATGTCATTCTCCTTCTGTAGAATGCTGGAAGGAATCTTTCTGCCTGGTTCAGGGGCTGTTCTTCTAAGTTTTTAATATGATTTTGTTGAACTGTCTCTTCCTTAGATAGTTATGACCCTCTTATCCTACATTCAATTAAGCTGTTCTAGAAACTTGGATCTTATATGCCTGTAACTGTATTCTGAAGAACAAATGTGCACAACAAATGCAATACAAAATTGTGTAAATTAACATAATGCTTGCAGTACTAAGACGTTTGAAGTATCTTGTAACTTTGAATATCCTAAGGTACTCCTTAAGAATATGTATAGTATGTTAAAATATGTGAATAAACTTAATATAAATATATGTGTGTGTATATATAAAGAGAGAGGAAAAAGTTATACTGTGATTAGTCAGAGCTTTTTTTATGTAGTGCTTGTTCTCGCTTTCAATCTGGTGTTAACAGCCTGCTATTTTGCAGCATTCTGGTTGTGTAGTAGAGATCAGTTCCAGAATAGTACAAATGCAATCATGTTTGCCTTGTCTGGTGGTATCAGGAGCCATACACAAGATTATAGATCTGTGCACTGTGATAAACAGTGAAGAACTGTTAAATCATTTGCCAGCTGTCTTGTAAATGGCATAGCCCCTTGGTCCAGTGATTTCTCTGCAGAAAACAATGGTGGTGACTTGGTTGGCTGCCTTTATTCAGAGACTGCTCTTTAGCATGGATCGTTGTAGGATTTCATATTGTCCTTATTTTCACCAATATCTAATTGTGATGTTTGCATCAGGATGAACGCACTTAAAACTGTATTTTCTTTGCACTGAAATAGCTCTCTAGACAGAAGGTGTCAGTGCCTTTTAGGCTTTCCATCCTTGGGAGGGAATTAAAAAAAAATTGGTTCAGACAACATTGATGCTTGCCTTGATGTTTGCTGGAGATGGAAGGAGAGAGAAATTTGTACTAGCAGCAGGCCTACCCCTTTGATTCTAGGTTTACTCAACTCTGTTAATTAATATAGTGCAAAATATTGGGGCTCTTTTGGGGAGGACAGAAATCTTTAATGGTGGAGGTTGTGGATTATTTTCCACCTTTCTTTAAAATGTGTAGCGTCAGAAGGCTCTGTCTTCTCAAATGTGTTCTGGCACATAGATGTGAAGCGTGTGGAAAAAAATCAAACTTAGAGGTAAGTAACATTTGAGCATCATTTTGTATCTCTTAGAGGTAAGCGTGTGCTGGCTAAAGCATAGAATCTTATTTGTGTGTGTGTGTTTTTTTTTCTTCTCTGATATAAGTTGCTGAAAGCTATGTTAAAGGTATTGTCAAAGGCGAAGATTCTTGATACCACCTACAAGCTCACTCCTACATGTCGTCTTGTATTTCAGATCTTCTACTTAATGAAGATATATTGCCACATGGCTCTAGTGTTCTTAATACTCTAGGAGTGTTTACATGTGTACAATGTTTTGTATAGCTTGTCACAGCGTTGTCAACTTGGAATTGCTTGGGGAATTTACCTATTTTGGGAGTAACTTAAAAAGCTTGAGCAATTTATGCTGAAGGTTGTGGTATATAGAATATTATTTATTTTTCTAGTTAGGGTAGCATATGTAGCAGGTCTATCAGTACAAGTCATTTTAGAGTTTTAGTTAAATACCTACTTTGGTTGTGAAATTGTATAATGTTTGTAAAGCAATTTGTGATTTTTTTCTAATATTAGAAGAGTTTAGTCTGCCTATAGAATTGCAATAGCACATGCTTTAATCTGAACTGTAGCAGTTTACTGAATGATAAATTCTGGCTTTTAAAACCATATTTTGTCACTATCTGTAGAATCTTTGATTTTTCACAGGTCTTTAAAGACCAACTCCTTAAATGCATGAGGGAGAAAAGTAGACCTAAAGTAAGCTAAAAGTTCACTTCATACTTTAAAAATTATTTCAGGTAACAGTTATGAATATCTTTTATAAATAAATGCTGAAACATTGCAGAGTCTTATAACTCAGTTCAGTTCGTTAAAATTCAAGATGAATACTGACAGGTCAGTTACTGTGTAGTCCTTTTTTCAAGTTCAAGTTTCTTCAGATTTTCAGAACTAAATATAAGACAAAAAACAACTTTGAAACACTTTAATTTCTACATGGGTTCTAATCTGAGAGTGATAGCTAGATAATGGAAGTATTTAACACCTGCAAGAGAAGCCATTACTAATATTATGACTGCCTGCCTTTTCCCAGGCCACCTGGGATAATGATTGCTAAATATGTGTTAAATTTCTTTTTTTTTTTTTTTGGTGGAGAAAAATGCTTTATAAACAGTGGGTTTCATTGGTAAGTCTATGTTAAAATCCCTCTTCAGCCTTAGTAGTTATATTGACCAAGTAAGTCATTTTTTGGGATGGACCAGTTCAGCTCACATTCATGTACCCATCAAGACAGGATGCTGCAGTGTTCTGGTCAGCAGTGTTACCTAGTGACAGGAGAGGAGTGAATACTGTGGTCACTCCTTTTGCTTGACTGAATTTATTGCATGTGCGCAAAAGGTATGTCTGTATTCTGCTATGTGAAAAGTAGGATGGAAAACAAGCAATTGCAATTCCCTCTCCTAATTCTTTCCTGCAGTTTTCAAGACAGTTTTATTTGAGCAGCCTTATGGTAGCAGAAGCCTATCTCCCTGCCTCACAGCTGCCTGCCTCCAAACAATCCATTCAACTTGTGTCTTACTCCTGAGGTTCTCTGCAGGCTGCAAGCAAGACAAATGGTTGTGACAGGGTCCATTTGGCCAGTAGGCCACAGGATTAGCATTGCTGCTTTAGAAACCACTGTAAAGCATTCTCTTTAGAGTGGAGGAAGGAATATTTTGATGTTGAAATACCTCATCTCTTCAAACTTGTGAATGTTCAATAAGAGAGAGAGTACTGGCAGCAAGTTACAGTAATGTGGGATACAACTTATTAGATTATTAGAAACTTTTTATCCCTTTAGTATTTTAACGACTCTATGATTTTTAGCCTGGGTTTTCACTTTCATGTATATGACTACACAGTGCTCAAATGTGGCTAGCTGATCTCTTTGCTTCAAATTTTTACTTTCCTTCTCTGTTTCTGACACTGAAGCTGCTTCTGCTTACTCTTCTGCAGTTTGTCTAATTGGCACACTTCTATTACCCTGTGCAAAGTAATGCTAGATCTATAAATAAAAGTAGTGTCAACTCTATATTATGTTCTGTTGCTTTTAGGTAGAGCTAGTTTATTCAAAGAAAATCTTTTTGGTTTTGGACTTTTAAGAATTTTATGTAGCAAGCATACCTTTTTACTTTTTCAAAATGGAGTGAAGCACAACACTGGATAGATATAATCTTTATGATGTAGAAGGAAAGCAAGGTATGATTCTCTCAGTTTAGTCAGACTGGTTATGAAACAACCTTACTCATATTCCTTGAGTCTAGAACTCATTGGTCATACTTCTGTCATAGGTTTGGCTTTTATTCAGTTGCTGTCTGCAGTATGGGTGATTCTTGGTTCTTCTGGTATGTATGTTCTGTAAAGCCTTGAATCAATCATATGCAGTACCTATTTATGAGCAGAAAATGAAGCAAATTTGAGTTAGGTCTTGTCTAATCCCTTTGGCAACTATTGAGTTTTAATCCAAAATACGATTAAGTATCACACAGAGGCTTACTCTTGAATTTTATTGTGATGGATGATGGAGTTCCTCACTCACCTCTTTTTTTTTTTTTGGTTTTTTTTTGTTTTTGTTTTTTTATTCTGTTAATGGCTAAGCTCTTCCAGAGGCTACATGATTATTTTGGCATTTGGAAAAGCTTATTGCACCATAGGTTTCGTAAGTGTGTGAGAGATTCAATTTTTGCATCCATATAAGTAGTTGCTAGAAGCAAATTTTGACTCTATCCTATATTAATAATTTATTGATCTTTCAGCTTGCTATGACTGATTTCTCAAACTTTATGCCCTCTGACAAGGAAAAAAAAAATTAAGTTAGCTGTATGCTGAATAGTTTCACAGATAAATGTGGCCTGTTTGGTTTTGAAGTGAAAAAATTGCATTGGACTAAAAAGCTATATGTAATCAATATAATTATCCAAGGTAAGTAACTATTGTGACACATGTAATACTATAATGCAGCCTTCCTTTATGAATTGACAATCCTTTTCGATATCTTTACAGGGTGCTGACAAGACTGTGAAAGGCCCAGATGGATTAACTGCCTTTGAAGCCACTGACAACCAGGCAATCAAAACTCTTCTTCAGTGACGGATGGACTGATATCTTAAATGTCTCTCCTGTGGCCTCACACTGCTGCCTGTCTGTCACTCTTTACATCTTCCAGCTTCTTCAGCTAAATACTTTGGGGGGAGGGAAATTATCTATGAATTAGACTAGTTAGGGGCTTGTATCCAAGATAATCTATTTGGAAAGGGTTGAAAACTATTACAAAAAAATGTCCCTCCAGGACTTCTTTTCAGTGCACAATCTCTTCCCATTCCTAGTGAAAATGGAGGGAGGAATAGAGACCATGATCTCGAATTCTTGGCTTGTAAACCTCCGAAGTTAGTATAAGGTTTTTGTTCAAAGATCCCTTTAGATGGAAGTACTGTGCTATGTACCTACAACTGTAATTGTGAAGGAGACAATAGTCCCATGGTATTAGTGTCTGCCGTAATCTGAAGTGTAGTAATGTAGGTGGCTGGATTGCTTTTCTCTCTTCTCTCAATGGGTAGCTTTATCCTTCTGTCTGAAGCTTACATTGCAGTTTTGAGGACTATTGATATTAGGTAATGGAGCTGTTCTTCATATTGACTAATTGGATGTCTCACTAATGTTCTCCTGATTCTTGAGTAAACCAGGAAAGATCAGCTAAGGCAAGGCCTTGTTACACTCCAGAATATCTGCCAAGGTACTTTTGGATGCTTGAACTTGAGGTTTTCTTTCCCATGTGTGTTCTAGTCCAGAACAGAAGTTTTAACCAGCTGTTTTTGAGGAAAATTAAAAATGTCACTAGAGTTATTTCCAGAAGGATTGTAAGAAAGAATGTCTTTAATCACCGTGTCAGCATAAAATCAATAGATTGAAAATGCACAGGCTGTGAAAGCTTCAGGCTGTTTGGTATGCAGGGATAATCAAGTGAAATGTGCAAAATGAACAGTTATTATTTAGACATTCATATCAGAGGTGAATATAGTTGCTAAACTTTTTTTGGTAAACTTTTAAAATACATGTAATGCTTTTAAGTTTAGCTGTTAGGAAAAGGAAGACTTACTAGTAGAAATCTTAACAACTTGCTGTAGCTACCAGAGAGGGGAAAAACATTAATTGTGCATATTCTTGAATTTATGTTTCATTGTGGCTGAATGAACCTCTTAAAATTTATTAAGGCATGGGGTTTGTTCCCACTACAGCCCTACCACGTTAACTATCAACTTTAGATAAGACTTACTGTACCACTAAATATGATAGTACTGTGACAGCCTTGACAACTCACGGGAAGGCATTTAAAATAGTGATAGGGATTTCTGTCACATCCTTCAGTTCTCAGGAATGTCTGAGCTTCTGGCTTCCATCCTGAAAATTTTCTTCAGACTGCCAATTCACCCGAGAGAAAATAACAGTTTTTATAACAAAAAAGCATATACCACAAAATTGTACATCTTCCTTTTTTTAAATACAGATTTCAAACTTTCTGATACCGTACAAAAACCAGTGTATATAAAACTTTATGCTGAATTCTTGAAAGTAGCTGATATTATTTTGATATCATAGCTGAAGTTGGAAGGGTATGTAGAAGTAGGCTGATGACTACCACTCAAATATTTAATGGAGATTAGTTTTATTGAATCGTGTTGCATTTTAGTGTTGAATGTCTCTGTTATAAAACACCTTGAGTTTAACGGGTAAAATGAGACCCAAATCTGATTTGCATTTACACATCCCATAAGAAAAGCAATGGAGGTAGGGGGGGAAAAAAGGCAATCAACTCTGACCATAAACTATACAGAGCAGTTATTCTTTGCTTCTCGGAAATGGGTGGCAAGAAAGAGCAGAAATATTGGAAATCACTGGTAAATCAATTGATGAACTGTTCATGAAATGACAAGCATGCTTGGTGAACGGTACTTATAATGAGCATTTAAAGAGAACTCTTTAATCTTAACTCTGATCAGTGCTGAATTGTCATGTCACTGCAATATTGTGAACGTAGAATATAGGTTTAACTTTTTATTCAGCTATGAAAGTAACCATCCTTGGCAAAAATTTGTCTTCATATTACGCTATTAAATACTTAGCTATTGAAATACTAGTCTAGAAAACTGCAGTCTGTTTTTATGTGGAAAACTTGAATAATCAAGTTTTTTGTGTTGATTAGTGTCAAGTTGTCTGGCCATAGGTTTTTTGTTTTGTTTTATCCCCTCTCCTGTCCTCTTCCCTGCCTTCAGCTCTCATTTAAGTGAGCATTATCATAGTAAAGAAACATAATTTTTGTACTAACTCTTCTGGTGATTCGCTGAGGCAATTTGCCTTCCTTTTTCTACAATTGTGTGAACACCTTATTCTTTCTTACTTGAGGAAAAAAAAATGCAAACAAACTTCAAGACAAGTGTGAATCTGGCTGTAGTATACACCCAAGCTGCCTTTCCAGATAGTTAAAAGATGGCATTTAATGTTTGAATCATTTAAATAAAAAAAAAAAAAAACTCTTTTGCTTGTTTGCACTACATGAGAGGTGATTGATCATCTTGCCCAGGACTTAAAAATAATAACAATAAAGATGATAACAGCTAAACTCTTTCATAATTGTCTAGAAACTGGGCTTGTTCATTCATTCCCGTCCTTTTACCTATATTGTGAAGAAAAAAACTGGGTGCCTACTTGTATCTTTGAGTAGGTCCTAACTAGATGAAAATACCAAACTGTAATTTAGTTTACATTCTGTAAACAGTTAAATACTTTGTCGGACTGGAAGTGCATGCACTTGGAAATCTACTCTTTTCTTGCACCTTTTCCTTTCAAATTTGTGCTGAATAAGTTATAACCTAAAATGTATTTTGGATTTTATACCCACTGCTCCTTTTTCTTAAGGAGGAGTAAGTGGGGAAAAGAAATACAATAATTAAATGGAACTTTCCTCCTTTTTCTTGAAGATAGCATTGAATTATTTGTAGAAGAGGCTGGTAAGAGTGGAGTGTCCTAGGTCAAGCAATTGCAGTGTTGCATGCAAAATTTCAAAATGAACTGTCTTAATTATATTTTGTAAATGGATAAACAATCATCTTTCTACGCAGTGATGGAAGAAAATTAGTGCTTTGTGCATTTTGATATTTGACTTCCTCTTTTCACCATTGTAACTGTTTTGACACAGTTGGGTTCATCATTATCATGGTTCATAGACATCAGAATGCTAAATGATACTGTATTTTTAAGTTTGTGTTGCAAGAACGAATGGAATAAACTTGAATTGTGCGATATGAGAATTTTTAGTTTTATTTCCCCCTCTTCTGCTCCTGTGTCTTATTAATTTATTTGCTGGCTGCAAATACATATTTGCCTGGAAGGTATATCAACTCCAGCTTATGTTTACAGTGATTAAAATATTCAAATGCTTAAAAGACTTAGATGTGGAATGGAAGGGGCTGTGAAAACTAAGTCTAGAAAGTTGATTTTTCTAAATCATGTAAATCTATTTTAAGAAGTTTTGGTAAATTCTGTGGTTCTGTCTGTATTTCCCTCTTAAATGGTAACGTATGGTGTTGACGGTCTTATCCGTGTTAAAGTCTACAAGACAGTCTGTGGGCAGATGATATTTCTCCCCATTGTCTGTGAGGGTTAAATCAGTTGATTCTCTTCATAATTATATAGAAATATGTAGTCGTCATTTGCTGCATCTTTACTATCACATCATCAGGTTTCCATTAGTAGCTTTGGTTGTCAGTAGACATTCACATCTAATTGCTTGAATTGTTTGAGAGGCTTTATTTTTAACTGTATGGTTTTAAAGAAAAAGTGCAGAAAGGTGGTGTGTTGAAGTAGGGAAAATTGCATAAATGGAGGAAAAAATAGTACTTCAACAGAAATTTAATCTTTAGTGCTAAAATTTGAAAATAGGAACTTCTAATGCATTGCAATTAACATTTAAATGTTGGAAAATACAAGAGGGACATGTGCATCATACACAACCCTCCACGGCAGTTCAAATAGTGTGTTAGCCAGTGGCAATTCATAAGTATGGCATGCTTCAGTTCCTGTCTTGGGTTTAGGTTTTTTATTTTGTTTTTGTTTAGTGGATAGCTTTTCTGTAGGAGCAAATACTAGCTAAGATTCAGAATGCAGTTTTCACTTATGCTGTTCAGTGACTGGATAAACAAATTCATCTGCACATGTAAGCACTTTTCCTCATGTGCTTTGTGGCTGATCTTTTAGAGCAGATTCTTTTCTCAGCTGTCTTCCAGGAGAAAGTTGGCCTGAAAAAGCAATTTTTCCGATTGGATCACTTAGTTGTCCCTCTAAATTTTGAGGAAAGTGTGCTCTCTTCAAAGCTCTCCTCAAAGCAGTTTTTAATTTTTCTCAGTCTGACATCCTCATCCTGAAACAGCTTTCTGATAAGTTATGCTGTAAACTTTAGTAGGTGTAAAGGATATGTATTGTATGGGAAGCATTTTGTTTTTTGTAGTGCTTTGAATGGCTTCAAAAGCATATAGTATTTGGTGCCTGCTCAGGAAATGGATGGTGCTTTTTCCTGGTGGCAGCAGTGCTCTCTCCCTGCCTCTGCAGTCAAAACAGCGTTTCTAATAAATGCAACTTTTTCTAGTCTTAGATTAGATATTGCTTGCTATTGTGATCTGGTGTTAATTTTAAGAGTCTTCCTTCAAATAGGAGAAGTCTTGGAATCTCTTGATTACTTCTTTACTCTTCAAGTAGTATTTGGAAAGCACCTACATGCCTCTATTCTCCTGTGTCCTTTTTCCTAAATGTTTTGGCCTCAGTTTTCAGGAGTACTGCAGGCTGCTACAGAATACAAGATTCTTTTACACTGTGCAGTAGGTTCCTCTTCACAAACGTGGCTTCATTTCACAACATTATGAAATAATGAATAAAGGACTTAGGCAGTAACGCACTGAGGTTCATCTAGTGGTCATTTTGGCCTTTAATACAGAAGGATAATTGTAGTTTTTCCACTTTGTAACTAGATGCTTTTAATGTGTAAAGATGGAACCCAATTCCTCAGGGGGGTATAATGTGATTCTTATGCCAATAGGTCAAGTCTTTGAGCCAGTGGCTCACATTCTGGCTTCATGTTTTGATAAAGCTATCAAAAATGTGGATGTTAGCTGGAAGGGTGGGAGAGAGCTCCTGTGGCTTTTTTCCTGCTGAAGTTACATTTTCCAGGCTTAATGTGCCCTGAATTGCTACTGGGAGTATTTTCAGTTTGTTTGGAGTCAAGAAAGCCTAACCTATCTGTCTTCATATGTAGTTTCAGAGCTGAATTTCTGTTCATGCTCTGGATGTGATGGGTACTCAATTTTAGATGCAGAAAATAGACCCTTTCTAGGAGATGACTACTTGCCTTTTTGTCTTTGGAGGGGGAAAAAAAAGATTCCTGAGCATTGCTATTTTAGTCTACAGATGCTCACATTCTGACAATTTATAGTGCAGTGAAATGAAGATGTCAGGTTAGAACCCTGAACGTGGTATAGCATGTTCTAAGCAACTTGCTACTGAAATTACTTGAGCTCTAACACTGGCAGATTTGTCATTTGGAGTCCTCATTCTCACTGCATGTGATGTCACTGTAGAGACTACCAGGCATGATGCAGTAGTGGGCAGAGTGGTCTGTCCGTTCCTTTCCTAAGAGCTTTGAGACGTCTTTCATCAAGTAACTAGAGGGGTTTAAAAAGGAATCATGCTGTGAATTTGCATGTGCACAGTTGCAAAGAAGGGAAGAATGCTCATCAGTAACTGGAAGACTTGAGTGGTGTTGTCTTCAGACGTGCTTGCCAAGAGGTGTTTGCACTTCTGTGCAAGCCAGCCAGTATTGACTATGATTACGGATGAAACATTTTGAACTTTCAGGTACTGATAATCTTTCTTTGTGTATCTTGAAGTTTCTACCTCCTGAACTATAGGAAACATTCCTGCATCCTATTTTGTCATGAAGGAAATAGCATTTTGTTGTCTTTGTTAGGTACCTGTATCTTTTTCTGCTTCTCACCACCTCCATCTAACTACTTCAATTTCATCTGTCCCTTCTTCTGTCCTTTAACGCTTTACCAGTCATTGCACCTAGAATCACAAATTCATGAATGTCTTTCATACACCACAAAACAAACTGGGACTAAGGAATAAAACTGATCTTGTCTCACTATTGAAGGTAAGGTCTACAGGCAAAAGAGAAAGCAATTTTCTGTAGAACTAATCTCTGGAGAGGGGGGGGGAGAAATTAAACCCACCAAAACTTGCACTTAGTTCACAGTTACAGTAAAAGCATTTTCTCTGAAATAGTGACTCAATATGAAAAGGAAAAATGATTATAGTCCTATCAAACTAATGAATATTCAGGGTGCAACAGATACAATACTGTAGGGAGAACTGTCATTCAGTTTACTTCTCTTCCATTATTACTAGATTTAAAGAAATAGATAGAGGTGAAGTTGGAAAAGGAAGTATCTTTGCATAGTTGAAATCTCTCACATAGCAGTAATGACTGAGCAGATCGAATTCCTTCACTTCTCTAACTGGGCTGTCTGTACCTCGGTTTCCATCAAGACTTTAGATATTAGAAGCACTGACTGTTCTGTCCCTGTTTAATCTGTTTATAAATCTTTTGTTATCTGGCATGTGATGTAAGGGAGATCAGCATGAGGGGAAGTTAAAGGTAATTAGACTGCTTTGTGTGCCCCAAAATTCATATCTGGTTGTATGATTGCTAAAATAAATTTTAAACGCCTTTTGCAAACATCTGCCTAACCAAACCTGTTTCAAAATGAGTGTTTTGTCCTTTAATGATTTAATCCCTTAAGCTATAGAAAATGATCCCATGTTGGACAATTTGAATTTGAAACAGAAAGGTTCCCTGTTCTTCAGACCTTATATATAAAATTTGAATCTCTCTGCTTTGAGTGTCCTTTCCCTTGCGGTGGAAAGGCGTGCATTCAGCCGTGCATCTGGAGCTATGATGCCAAATCAATGCGTGGTAGTTATTTACTAGCCTTTCAGTAGAGAAACACTCCTGTTCATGTTTTTGATTGGGATTTGTTAATTTTTAAGGAGAATCACCTGTGACATGGATCCAGAGGTGTTTGATATTAGTATTTCAGCTAAAGAAAGTTACATCTTTAAGTTTTGTTGCAACTTTGTGGAAACATCTGTCCTTGAATGCAAGCCTCTACTATAGTGAGGGCTGATACTGTGAGGGTGTTTCCTTAAGACTGCTTTCAGCCTGCCATTTAAAATAGCCTACTGAATGTTAATATCTATATTTAAAATACAGTATTTATTGATGCCTTTACACTATTATTAAAAAAAATCTCTAACACAAAGCTTTAAAGGAAGGGCCTGCACTCATTAAAAGAAAATGATTTGTTTACTGAATCTTCATGATAAGAGGTGTTTCTTTACTAGGTCTAACTGCATGAAACTGTCATCCTTGTTACCAGTGCCTTCTAGGGCCCTTTTTGTATTGATAGGAATTACCTTTTTTTCACAAGAACTTTACACATTAAAAGTCATAATATTCTGCTGCTAAATCCTGTTTTGTAAAGTGATATTAGGCCAAATACTGTCCTAACAAGCAACTTCAGTTTAAAAAAAAGAAAAATCTAGTCCACCAACAGCTGTGTTGTGCTAGTTTAGCAAAATGAAATAAAATGTGAAAATAGTATGTAAATTTTTAACTGCATAAGACGGGCTTCAGGAAGCGGTCAGGAAGGAATTAGTGATCACTAAGTGAAGAGTTTACCTTTTTCCCAGACTAAAAGTAGAGGCCAGTCTCACGTAAATAAGTATGTAAGAGGAATGTGCCTCTGTAAAGAGAATTAGGTCTATTTAATAGATACTGATGTTTTAAGTGTATGCAGATTGTCTTCACCAGACAATATTAGCATGTGTAAACATTGTAGAGAATTCTTTCATGTATGGAGTAGATGAAGGAAAACTGCAGACATAGTTTAATCAGGATAGTGAACTCACTGACCACAATTTCCATAGTCTCTGATGACCAGTCTGTCAAGTGCTTAGGGCTGCATTACCTCATTTAGCTTTCATGGCCCCAGTATTACAATACTAGCCATAATTTGAAAAGTAATCTTAAGTATAAATGCTCCAAGATCATAAGAAAAAAAGCAGTTTTCTATACCTTCTATTATTAAATAATAGTTCTCACTAAAGCTGTGTAAGGCTACTCATTGGGGGAATTATGGTGTTTTTTTTAAATTGTTGAAGCTATAATTTCAAGTTAAATAGGACTTCCAAC